ATTTTAAATTTAGGTGTTTGGGATTAGTTTTCTTCTTAAATTTCACCCAATTTAAGTTATACGTGTAAAGAACTGGTTTAGGCGAGGGTGAGAGGAGGGTCTCATTTGTGGAAATAATGACCGGAATGTGGTCTGAGCCGTGCTCGATGTGCGGAGTTGAGTAGAACTGGGCTTTTTAATTAATAATTAATGGGCTTTTTAAGTTAGTTATTACTATATCTACAGTATCGGGAGGCTTGTTTGGGTCACGAGGATACTATATAGGTTAAGGGGAGATATTAATCTTAAACTGTTCGTATGTATGTGAATGTTTAGTTAGGATCTAGCGGCATTGGTGACTCTGCACCCCCAGAAAGTGTGTTTAGCATTGAGGTCACCCAAGAGTATAGTTGGTGACTGATCTGTGATTACGTTACTTCAGCTGGCAAAATTAGGTTTTAAATTGGATGGTTTATAAGCTGCAATTACAGTTAAATTTTGCAGGAGAGAGAATTTGCTGATATTTAAAGCGCAGTGATAGACATTTGGTTTATTTGGTGCTATGGAATAGCAGTTTTGATTAAAATAAGAACGCCGCCGCCTGGTGAGTGTATTCTATCTTGTCTAACTACGTTATATCCTGGAAAATGAAACGGAGAAGAAGGTTTTAGATGTGATTCAGAGATGCAAGAAATGTCTATGTTGTTGGCTTGAAAAAAATACTGAAGTTCTATTTTTTATTGTTGATGCTAGATGCATTCCAATTCATTAGAGTTAATGAATGATTAAATTCAGGGTGCGCCATGGGCAGTTCTAAGATAGGAAGCTATGGCTTGTTGGATATTTTGAACGATGACTGGCATAATAGAGTTTGATATTGATTGTGTAGATACGGAGTTGATATTGTGTACGAATGAAGAATTTAAGACACTGTATTGAGGTGAGTTATTTTGGGGGAGATAGTTTTGGGAGCTGTTAGCTGATTGGTTTCGGGTGGTGTTTGATTGCTGGTTAGTTGCTGATACATAGGTGAAGTTTGGTATGCGGGTCGTTTTAAGTAAGTTGAGAAAATGATGAGTGGTATTAGGGCGAGGGGATTGATGGTTAGTTCTCGACTTTTGTGGTGCTTGATGGGAATATTTGATTTATTTTCCAAAATTGTTTTAAAATATGAGAATTCTATTCTTCGGTTATCAGCTCTGTGCGTCCCGTCGCAGTTTTTACTTTTCGGAGGGTCGTCCTTTCGAGGGCATGAGGCAGAATAATGTCTCAGAACAATATATACAAGAAATTAGATGTTTTTGGAACGCCCGAAATCCAAACCGGAACAACTGTGTTGGTCCTTTAACTTTACGCCTTTCAGTTTTTACTTTTAGATTACATATTACATTTGTTTTAAGGATTATTTCAATATTCTGCTTCTGAATATTCAGCGGCTACCACTGGGATTGGTGAATTGTTCTTGTGTAATCTGGTAACACTAATGAGGGAAGATTGTTTAGCTTTTAGATCTTAGTATATTTCCTTATGAGAAATGGATGAATGTTTTTGTAGACCACAGAAAACTTTTTGTTTGTTGGGTCCTTGCATGTATGGAACTGTTTATTAGTACTTATCAAATATTTAATAGCTTTTCTGAACTCTATTTGGTGAAAATTAATTTTGCTTTGCTATTATTTAAGGTTGATGTAAACTGCTTAGTGATGTGGGTTTTAATTTCATTGTTTAGTTCTCTAATGCTTTCAATATTGTTAATATGGATGGGAGGGATTATAATATTTTTGGAGTTTTCTGGAACGGTGATGTTTCGCGATACGGAACTTGATTCACTTTCTTAGAGGGTCAAATCTAGTTTTAATAGGAAAACCGTAATCTTGATAATGGTTAAACATGATAATTTTGTTGGTTGGATGTTTAGATTTGGATCACTATGCCCTCGCTTACCACTGGGCTCTAAGCAAATTGGTTCAGCACTTGCGCTGGTATTACCGTTGCACTTGGAAGTACGTGCAGTGCCGTTGGCGGGCAGATATTTACTGACCTTATTTAGTTGACCATTAACATTGTCATGCGGCATTGTTCCACTTAACACGTGAGGTTGAGGCGATGGGGGTAGAGGTAACCGTTGATCTGGTTGATTTTGTTGTAGTAGATGCTCTGGAATTTGTAGGAATGATGTTTCACGGGCGTCGCTTTCATGGTAAGCGACCTCCATTTCGCCCTCGGTCAGGTAGAACTCGGCGAGGGCATCTACAATACACTGGCGAATGCCAGCGTTTTCGGTTGAAAATGTTGCTCTAATTTGTTAGAATATAAGCACCACACAATTAGTGAGAGTTGTTGATAGCTGTTACTGTAGCACTTTAACTTTCACTGGAACACAGATACGAGGCGAGGCGCAGGGCTGTGCGCGTAGGTCTGAACTGTGCCACTGCTCGCACCGAAATGAAGGCAACGTAATAGCCAATCTATCGAAACAAATGAATGGCATACCGGACACACACACGCACGCACACACGCACGCTCGCGCGCACGCGAGCACACACACACACACACACACACACACACACACACACACACACACACACACACACACACACACAATGCTTCATCTTTGTTTCCAAGAATTGATATGGATCTAAAAGGAGCTCATTTTAATGAGGAAAGTAATTAGCAATTCTGCATCTTTCCTTGCCACGATAAACAACAGCCAAACTCCTTCGATTTTTGCCACTACTCACAAAATCTTAGGCTATGACAAGCTTTGCAGTACATTCAGCAAATATTACTCAATTCCCGATACCTTGTACTTCTCATGCCTCCCTAAACGTGTTGTCTTGCATCTGATATCCTCAACCAACGACCTGGTAAGTCTTTTACACTCCTTAAGTTAAAGCTCTTTTTACAAATATGGATGTCTTTGCATTTAAATTGGGATACTCCAATTGGTTATGAACTAACTTGTCACAGACTGTCCTTGCTGAATGAAACTGTTACAGTTTCATCAATGTATTTCCATGCAAAGCCATAAGCCATACTCCACTCTGTGAGTGTGGCAGGATCTTCTGATGCCTCTCAGAAAGCATATGGTGTTGTATCTTGTTAATCTTAATTTTGCATCTATCTTAGCCACCTGCTGTGCTCCAAATCAAGACCTGCTCCATTGATAGGGTCTCCTATCCTTCGCCTGGAGTAATGCGCTGCAAATTTGTTTGCAGAGTTGACAGAGCAGGTTATAAAGGCATCGGAAATTGTCCTGTTAACCAAGCTTAACCTTTTTAGATAGCTTTATTGTTTTGCATTTGTTGTTGAAAGACCACTTTAAGTTGGGCGCAAACTAGCGACAATGGACCGTAAGTTGAACGTATACTAGTGAGTCCCATGTTATTGCATAATTCCTTTCTAATCGAACATCAAACAACTTCAGCAAGTCTCTGAGGTTTTAATTTTTCTTTTTCTTTTTAATGTTGCCTTTAGATTGACACAATGCGTTTCTAAGAACCCCTGGTCAAACATAGTGCACAGATGAGTAATACTTCATTAAGATTTGCACTTAGAAGTAATTCTACATTTAACATCATGTCATGTCTCGTTACAGTCAGTTATCAAGAGGATTGTCATGTAGTCTCTAGGTACACACATCTTAGACCATGTGCTCCTGTGACACTGCTCAGTGGCCAGAATTGGGAAGGAATTAGGATAGGGTATCACATTAATCATATTATACACAAAATTAAATATAAAGAAATTTTATTTTCATGTACTTCACATAAGGAACACATAGTACATACAAGAAATTTATCTTAAAATTAAAAAGTAATTCAAGAACAAAAGATAAATTCTTTGAAAACATACTGCGCTTTGCAGTAATATAGAAGTAAATATATTTTTTATACCTATCAATAAACTGAATGTTACCGTATATCAGTTGATTGAGCATTCATAACTTCAATGACACATTACATTTGTGACATTTATACAGTAACTGTAGATTATATTATGTCTTTCGACAAATACAATAAAATAATCAACACATTAATATTGATCTCCGGGTTTTTTGTTTTTTTTAAAATATATTCAGCAGTATATTTTCTTGCCATAACAACAATGTGAAGAAACATTAATTGGAGACATATGTATTCATAGTTTGGCATAACACATGAGAACAAGTGATACATCAACTATACATTAAAATACTGGTGGATATGATTTCCATTCCAACCATTTAAACATTACATCAATCAAAAATACATGAAGCCACAATGTTTGAAGCACATTGATAGACACATTTTGCTGACATAATATTTCCTTTAAATCCCAAGAGGGTTTGGAGTTAACACATTAAGGAGGAATCTTAAGAAAAAAGCAAAATTGAAAGGAAATGACATCTCAAAAATCAAAATACAATTCTGACATGCTATTGTAGTAATTATTTTGTAATACTGTCAACACATCTGGCAAGACTTATTTACTAAACATTTACATGAATGCACCTATCATTGGAAGTAATTTTGTGTACATCAGTCAAATCAATTATCTGCCAGAGTTATTCAACAGATAACATTAACATACAAAAATTGCTCTACTACACAACCTCAGAACCACAGAGCTTAGCAGTAATGTATGATGATAAATATCATCAAATCAAAGGGAAAAATGAACTGCAAGTAGAATGCCTTTAAGGCAGTCAGTCCACCGTGTTTGGAGCAGAATCTGCTTGACAATTTTTAACCCAAACATAACGCAACATAAGTTACAGCACAGACAGTAAACACTTACAAGAAACAGTACACTGGACGACAGCTACCTAAATCTATTTACAATGCCCATACTCCATTTATCAGTACATAAATCGATGAAATTAATACGAAAATAAACTGTTTCAATGGTAAACACATTTGTTAAAATAATTGACCTTTGGGTACTAAAAGTAATAACAATCTCTCCATTAAAAATATGGCCACAAAATGGTAACATTTTTATATCTAATTCAGTTTCACTTGTTTGCCGAGTTCTTGAAGTCACTTGCTAAACTCATTGTTGCCATGACTGGGCGACGTGTTGTCAAACAGATCATGCTCCCAGTGAGGTGAACTCCGCTTATATCCTGCAACCAGACCCACCAGTGCCATTAGCCCTGATGCAGCTGCATGTTAATGTGAACCCCCTTAACTTCATCTGCAAGTTTGAATCAACTTGTAGTGGCCTTGTTTCACATATCAATATGAACCCTTGAATGAAATATGATACTTAAAATACTTACAAAATATTACACCTGTTTTATTTTTGTGTACTTGTAGACACAAAAAAACACTGGCTATGGTATGTTTAAACTACATTCTTATTACTTATATACATATTCTTGCTTGTAGCAGAAACTAGCATCTACTACATATAAAACATTTATACATACTCTGTAGTCAAATACATTAATACTTTCTTCCTCTCATGGAGTTAAAAAAAATATTCTTTGCACAACATTCGTATTATCAAGGTAAAATCTATCTCATGATTTGCAACAACATATGAGAAGAAAACTGTAAAACACTGAAAACAAAGAAGCTAATCTCTCAGTCTTTCAAAAATAGAAATAAAGTGAAGTAAGAAGGCCTGCTATCATCAGTACATATTGAAAAATCCTCCTGCAAAATGGAACACAATGAAGTAATATACAAACATCCAGCCTCACATTCACACACATACACAACACACCTAAATCCTATCGTTAAGGCAAATCTTGTGCACAGTAGAAACTTAGTTCAGTACAGTCCTGAATGTACAAGCCTGTGGGGGTTCAAGTAGTAAAACCACAAAAAGTTTCAACAGATTTCATAAAGCCAACATACAAAAAAGGATTTGCTTTTATTACCTTCTTTTTAACAGGTTTTCTCCTCTTTAAAAGTAGAATTTTCAAAGAAAACACAGGATCAGAGACACCGTTTTCTAGTGGTATTCAAAAAAGTAATGGAAATATCAGATGCATGAAGTCTGTGATTTGTAACAACCATGGAAACCTGACAATGGATTGTCTAATTACAAAGCTAATTTATTTCTAAAGTTTAACACTTTGACTGCTACAGTCGTGCCCAGTGAGTCGTGTGGGCACTCCTTTGTCCTGTGCCGGCCAGTTGGACTGACCTTTAACAGTGCTGTCAGCCATGTTAACTTTGGGATTATGGGCTCTGAGCCAGACATTATATTCATATTGTACCAAAATCCCAAACTAACTCATAGAAATGTGAGACCAGCAAACCAAAACAGCAACAAAATGTGAAGTTAATGTGCAGAAGGCATTACAAGAATGAGAATAACCACCCATCTGTTCTGCGTTCAACATATTCAGAGCTGTTGAATTAGTTACAAATATTAATTTTATCATTTACTTTGATGTATCAAATAGTTATATTTAATATTTGTTTTATAATGAGATTTCAGTGAACTAAATTTCTACAACTGTCTTAAGAAATACAAACATGAATTCTGAAGAATAACACATTTTATAAAAGGGGTGGGGGGTGAAAGCAACAAAATGTGAACTAACAATGAGAACATTTGTTCAACTAACAAAGAAATTGTAAACAGAGGTATAAATTAGATACGCCTAATACACAATACTTTCAAGCTCTGCAATATAAAAATAAATAATGCAACATTACATTATTTAAAGAGGGGGAGGGAAGTAGCAGGTTGTAAGAATCAGAAATAACTAGAAAAACAACCTTTCTGTATGCAATGTTTGAAAGCACATTCAACAAATTCAATTTAAACTTTTAACATACGAATTCTCAGATATTAAAAAATCAAGAAATTTGAATTGTCAGTGCACAATATAACACATCTGCAAAATTCCCATTTTTCATTGAAGTGAAAAAATTTGTTCCAAGACTATGTTTTACTAGCAAAAAATGTAATATAGATCACAACATAGCCAGTACAGAGAGTCAAACTATGCCTTTGAGAAATAAACAGAACTTCTCAGGAAAAATTGTTCTACTGCAAAACCTCACTTTTCTTGTGCATGGACGACATGTACTGAACAAGAATTCAAAGCTGATTTGCGCACAAAACTGTTTATGCTATGACTAAAACCCAACAAAATATTTAAACAAAATTAAATTTCAATAAGAATAAAACTATGCAATTCAAAACCTACTTAAATCAAATATAATACAGATTTACATTATATAATTGAATTACATTTTGTTTGTTGGTTTATTTCCAAACAAAATTCATTAATTTAAAATTAATAAACTTCATTGAAACACACGACAGTTAGAGGTGCACAAGTTTGTGGACCAGTATACTTTATTTACGTTTAGGCACTGAGAAGTCTCCTTACATTAAAAAAAAATTCATATATCATACATGCTCTATTCAAATTGTCAGTTTTAACAGCAGCTACACAATGTTTTTTCATGCATTTAACACAAATCTGATCTAGTTTTCATTACAAATTGGCCTATAACTCATACTTACGTGGTAAGTATCCACCTCGACGACCAGTTCCACGCCCTCCCATATAGCCTCGCGACTGACCCACCCCACGAAAGATTCTTCCACGCATCATCCCTCTCCCACGAAATTGGCCCCTCATTCCCATATTCCCACGTCCACGCGTTGGCATACGCATTTCATCTCGGTTATCATGCTGAAAAAACAAACAAAAAACCAACTTGTTATTGTAATGCCTGTTTAAGAATAAACACCTTGTATGTAGAATCTAAATGAGTAAATATAGTATGAATTTTACACAATAATAAACACATTTAACATACAAAATGTAAATTCTCGTAACATACTTCAAAATAGGCGCGCCCCTTAGGCACATATTCAGGATTCATATCCCATGGTTTTGAACCATGGAAACGATCTGGCCTAGGGCCAAACTCAGGTTCCTGATGGAAACGATCGGATCCTTCGTAGCGGCGGCCACCAGGTCCATGAGATCCAGGTCCCATATGCATGTCACCCCTCATTTTACGATCCCCATCTCCCATGTGCCGATATTCCATTGGACCTACAAAAAAACGTGAGTTGCATACTTGTAAGAAATATGAACTAAGTGGGAATCAAATATTATGGGTGATTAGGAGGCAGTTACCATACGTTGAAAGGGGTATGCCCTTATAGGCAGAGAAAATAAATTGTCTGAAGACCTTTATCAAAAGAGAGAATTTCCTTTCTTGACAATATTATAAAGCATATTTAAAAGATGTTGATTTATTTGCTAATTATTTTCAGTTGGTCTGTACATGAAATAATGTAAATTCATTGTTCGTAAAAATTATGATGATTCTTCAATTACTATGGAAAATTTAGAAATTACTCAAGCAATCAATGAACTTAATATTAATTTTGCCTTGATGGCATTTTAGGGTCTCTGTATTGCTAATATAATTCCTATTCCCCTGAGTTACTTGTTAAATCTGGTTCTGAAGGGATCACAGAACAAACTAAAACTAACACTTTATTAGTTCCTTCCTATCTTCTGACCTGCTATTTACAGTAAAGTATTGTAATAAGAAGGATTTTAAAGTAGACAATTTATTGTGATATGTGTTCTTGCGGTGGATTGTTGTTGGAATAATGAATGTGTTTTACTTGATGATGGAGCCACAATAAGCTCTGAAACGTTGTGAAGGAAGAGATGTTAATGTCAATAAAAATAGTCTGTGAGTTGTGTAAATGAAAATAACATACAAGTAGAGGACAGCATTCTTTAGAAATTTTTTATTTATGCTCCATGGAAACACTTCACATAGATTTTATCACACGACTAAATGGAAATCACAAGTACTCTGAACATTTCTTCACTCACATCCTATAGAGTTTATAACAATTACCTATAAATAGGTAACAAGAGAAATTGATTGTATAGATCATGCTTGAAAAATTAAGTAGAAAATTCCATTGTCTAGCACACGATTATGCGAGTGAGCAGTTATTGATACACCATATGCAAACCATAACCTGGGATTCAATGCACCATTTAGATACACGTTTTCAATTTCAAAGTATTGTAAAATAAGTATGTTTAATCTACCATTTGCGCAATTTAATAATAGAGCCACATTATATTTTCTTAATGATTTTAAATGAAAACAATTTTAAAAATTTCAGGGATTTCAATGAAATTTGGACATGAGCCTTGTTTATAAGCAGACTTTGCCACATTTGCAAATGAGCAAATTCACTTTTTTGAGAAAAGCTTGTTTTGGAATTTCATTTTCTCACACTAAGTAATGTAAGAAGAGAAAGTAACTGTTAGAGTTACTGGACTGTTGTACCCAAGTTGGTGGGTTCAAACCTGAAGCCGTGGATTTTTAAGGGCGAAAAAGTCCTTCGTACGCCTTCCTTCGGAGGGGAAGTAAAGCCGGCTGTCCCATGTTAGTAGATTTACTTGCATGTAAAAGATCCTCAATCCTAAATGACGCCTCTGAGCTAAATTCAAATCGCCTGTTTCTCGCCCAAGAAATACCTCCTTTCTCTGCTAGTTGATGAAAAGGAGCGTAGCGAAATTTGCGTGGTCAGACGGAAGAGCGGGCCTGATGGCCCGAGTCTCGCCACGTAAAATAAGGCAAATTCAATTCAATAGAAGAAGGAGAAGGAGAAGGAGAAAGAGAAAAAGAAGGAGAAGAAGAAATTTTCTTGTTGAATAGAGCAAAAGAGTGATGCAGCATATCATTTTCCTTAATATACCATACTTTTCAAAAAATGCAAAACCACATTAAAACTACAAAACTTAAGACAGAGAATTTTGCCTAAGGCAAAGTATATTGTTCAAAATGATCTCTTTAAAGAAGTCATGCACATTTTTTGGAAAAGAGTAGTTTTTGGATAATATGGGCTTAATATTTATGATTTTTTCGTAAAAAACTGTCCTAAATGTTTTCTTCCTTTTTTCTCCACATATGTAATAAGGGATGGTAAAAAATATTATGCTAATCCCATTTTCAAGAATTGCAATTTTTTTTTTCTTCAAAAATTGCAAAAATTATTCAAAACTCCAGAATTGAAAATAGAGATTTTCACCTCAGATAAAGTGTTGTACAAATTTAGCTCATAGCTCTTAAAAATTAGACGCATTATGGGCTTCCACCATACATAACGATAACATTGCAATATTGCGAGAAAGTATGTGCTGTTGTAGCAACACTAGTAGTAAAGATTGTCCCCAATTTCATTTCAATTATTTGAATTTTATAAAGTACAAAGAAAAGAAACAACACTTTCATGTTATGAGGTGTTCATAATAAAAAAAAATGTTTTGTCAAACTATCAGCACTTTTTACTGCACCATTACTTCACTATCTTGGCACTTAGCAGCATTACAATATGAAAATCCATACTGTGTATGTGAGAAAGTAACTAAAGGTGCTACAGAATGGCATAGACTTTCCCATATTAGTTTTCAGTTTCTTTTGGTCTTGGCTTTTATGATTACGAAATGATGAATATGAATATGATTATGATGATGATGAAAGAACTCAATGATGGTACTGTAATAAAGCAATATCCTAGCATACTCGTTATGGACAAAAAACAGACATCCCCTTTCACACATGCACCTGCTATATATAAATTATAATTTTTTTAAAAAAAAACATGTATTCAGTCTTCATTTCTGTCTCTTCAAAAACAAAACATCAAGATTTGCCGGTTCACTGAACTCACCGCGTCTCCTATCACCAGGCGGAGATGGCTGCATCATTGGTCTTCTCTCCCTCTCCCTTTCTCTGTCCCTGTCCCTCTCTCTTTCCAATTCATGACGTTCCATAGAATGGTGACGACCCATCTCATGGTCTTCATGTCTATCTGACCTTTTGTCATGGATTCGCATGCGCAGATCTGAACCCCTGCACAAACAGTGTTACATTTTTAAGAATTCATTTTAAACACATAATAATTTTTGTAGTGGAATAATGCTTCACCTTTCACTTTCTCGATAGTCGCGCCCTTTATCATAAGATCGCATCCCTTCTCCATGAGATATATATCTTGGCTCGTCACGGCGTCGAGATTCAAGATCATGACGTAAGTCTTCTCTCCTGTAAACATGTGTGTTACACCATTCTGTGTGAAACATGATTCTTTAAACAAAACATTTCTTATTGGAAGGTGGAGAGGTTGGGATAATGTTTTTTTAAAGTATTTAATGGTTGCACACAATTCATCTTCATAAAGAACAGGAAACAGGATCACACAGCAACCAGTTGAGGTAGGAATACAAAAAACAATGGACATACATTTCCTTAAGAAATATAAGCTATAAAACAGCAGTGAAAAAGTGACTTTAGATCAAATGTTAAGTTTTCTTTTCTCTCATATGTAGTATAAAGTATTGAAATCATTTCAAAAAATCAATCTCAAAATGTTGATGGACATCCCCCCCCCCCATGCTGGAAAGGAGTTTCTTGTAATGTCCTCTTCCAAGAATATTCGTGAACAATATTAAAAGTAAATGGTGCACGAGACCCTTTTCCAAATTACCTTCTTAGGCCCTGTGAATTTGAACTACTTGATCTCTTGATTTTAAGGGGTCCTACATGTAATTCATTTATTTATTCATTTCTCCCCCTCCCAAAAACACAATCCAACACATTCCTTTCAATATTTTTAGCATGTTTTTCAAGTATACTGCTCATAATACAAATATTACATTACTGTGTGTACATACTCCTTTATTTGTAATTCTCCCCCAAGCTTTCAAGGTTTAAAGATTAAAAAAACATCTTCAACGCTCACGTTAGCTACATTGATAGCGTTCCAGTAAATTGCGAAATCAAGATACACGAGGATGTGTTTTGTGAGTTTTCAAGTGCCCTAAAACAGAAAGTTTTGTCCACAAAATATCTCTGCATATACAAAAATTTTCATGTTAATTTGAACAATCATGTTTCTGGTATCAGGGACCTCAAAAAAGTATTTCTCTCAAAATCTTGACATTGATTTTTTAAGCATTACACACTCTATACCAGAGTTGTGCCATAGGCTATAATTTTATGTCTAAGAAAGTTTCCTACATGTAATCTACACTACTCATTTTACACAGACTATACATGGAGTGTTAAACAACACACTCCTCTTTATAAGTTTCATACATCAGTTAATTTTACCATTGAAATCGTCATAATGTTAAAATCTGTCACTTTCTCATTTTGTGTATACAGGCATGTTGATGAAAATCGCACTGCAACTAATAACTTCTATGACACAATATTAATTTATGTATGTACTCTTAAAAATTAAGAATGACAATAATAGTAGTAATAATAATCATAATAATAATAATAATAATTATTATTATTATTATCATCCTACTTTACCCAACAAGCTTCTGTTTCTTTTTGCAGCCTTGTACTTAAATTGTGATAATTAGGGCATTCAAAACTTCCCAGAATTGCCTTCCCGCCACTGAACTGGCGATAAGATAGCTACCACATTCTTGTGTTAGGGGGCTGGGCATATTTCAGTGCAGTGGATCTTGCTGCTCTTTGTGATGTTGAGGTAAGGGGACTCCGTCGATGTGATGTTGCAGTCCGAATAGCAGTTTATACAAAGTTCAAGGGAAAACTGGGATAATTGGCTTGAGAGACATTATCTGCCCTTGCCACAGCCCTGCAGCAAGTTTACAGTGAAAAAAAAAACCCACAGTTTACTTCTGGTTTGCATGGTTTAACAAAAGGTAGGAGAGGCTAGTGGATGACAAGCAGCAGGAGACCACCACCTCGAAGTGATGAAATAAATGATTGCAAAAGTGAAACAATTGATTCCAGATGATCGATGAATGACAATTGTGGAGTTGGCACTCGAAGTTTGTATTGTAGAGCGATCAATTCATGTCATTTTATACAACGATTTGGAGAAGACACGTCCATTTGTTCTGAGGCGACTAAGGTTTGAAAGAAAGTGACACACCAAGAAACAAGGAACGTGGTGTCTGCATCATGATAACAAGCAGGCAGATTTTGATGACCTAAAACCTTGTTAAAAATGATCAATAAAATGTACTTGAAAGTGCTTTAAAAATGCCCTAAACATAAAGAGAAATGACGACAAAAATGTGATCAAAATCACATTGGATGAACAACTCAAGCGGTTGGATATGTTAGAGATCTTGATCTTATCTCTAGATCTTGCTTCAAGTGACTATTGGCGGATCTCTATTCTGATAATAGGCCTCAAGGAGCAATTTTGCATGGTTAACTGTGGAGAACATCAAATCAAATTCAATGTATCAGCTCTGACAGATGCTGAAAGGAGCCAAAGAACTGCTGCTTCCAATAATGGCAGGAACAATGGAGCATGTTGTGTATGAAGGCAAGGGTTCCTCTTCACAAGTAATTACGTTAGCATTGCCACAGGTTATAACGTTAGCATGCTGAATCAATATTCTGGGAACTTTTTGAATGCCCCTCATATTACCCAATACATGCAATAACAGGAACAATTTTAAATACAGCAGTGATTCTTAAGTTCTTTTGTCTTTTTCATCCATTTTGAAAACCTCTAGAGAAAGTACTGGTTCAAAATTAAACTTAGGTAACCAAATCTGCTTTTAATTTGTTTGGAGAAAATGAAATCTGCAGTGTAGTGGCTCTCGAACAGAAGGGGTGAGAGCTGAAATCCCACTTGGGCATAGTGGTTCATTCTTATGCCATCGTGGGCACTCCCATCCTCCATGCATCACCTGACTAACCTCATTCTGTCTTTCCTGGCCTGTGTGTGTGCGTGTGTGTTTGTGTAGCATAGGAGCACAGTGTTTGTAGCAACTACACACTGAACATATGTGCCTGTTGACCAACTGATAACAGTATAGGTTTGGTGCTGCCAGGTCTCATTCAGAACACAGCTGGCACTGCCTACGTGCAATCGTGTTTCCCCTCTTTGCTTCTAAGGTTCAGAAGAAGAAAAAAAAGAAAGAAAGAAAGAGAAAGAAAGAAAGAAGGAAAGAAAGAGAAGGAAAGAAAGAGAAAGAAAGAAATAAAGAGAGATAGAGAGAAAGAAAGAAAAAGAAAGAGAGAGATAGAGAGAAAGAAAGAAAAAGAAAGAAAGAGAGAGAAAGAAAGAAAAAGAAAGAAAGAGAGAGAGAGAAAGAAAAAGAAAGAAAGGAAGAGAGAAAGAAAGAGAGAGAGAAAGAAAGAAAAAGAAAGAAAGGAAGAGAGAAAGAAAGAGAGAGAGAAAGAAAGAAAGAAAATGAAAGAAAGGAAGAGAGAAAGAAAGAGAGAGAGAAAGAAAGAGAGAAAAAGAGAAAGAAAGAAACAGAAAGAAAGAGAGAAAGAAAGAGAGAGAAAGAAAGAGAGAAAGAAAGAAAAAGAAAGAGAAAGAAAGACAAAAGAGAAAGAAAGAAAGAAAAAGAAAGAGAAAGAAAGACAAAGAAAGAGTAAAAGAAAGAAAAAGAGAGAGAGAGAGAAAGAAAGAGTAAAAGAAAGAGAGAGAAAGAAAGAGAGAAAGAAAGAGAAAGAGAGAAAGAAAGAGAAAGAGAGAAAGAAAGAGAAAGAGAAAGAAAGAGAAAGAAAGAAAGAAAGAGAGAGAAAGAAAGAAAGAAAGGAAGAAAAGAAAAAAGAAGGAGAAGCCAGTGCAAAGATCATTGCAAATAACCACCCAAACAGCGGTTTTTGAAATTAACTCCTTAACAGAATCAAAGAGGTTCAGAGTTAAAACAGACACACACACATTCAAGGTCTTCCTGCAACTGTACATCATTATGTAAGTTCTTCACGTTAATTTATTGTGTCAATGGTATGGTTACCTATGTTTTTGCATTTCTCAAGAGATACCAGAACCTTAGTTTGAGAACCACTGAATTTTAACTTTGTTTCCAGGAAGCAAGTCTCATAAAAATTAAAACATAAACCTAGACAATAATTTTAAAACAAATACTGAACAAATAGAATTTTAAAGAAATCCAAAGCATCAGAGAAGGAAGAAGAATATAAAATTGAGATCTAGACTTATCGCTGCGGACTGCTCCCAAACCCCCTTGGCCCGTGAGCAGTCTTACAATTTGGAGCCACCTCACCATTGGCCCTTGCACACGCTGATATTATTTAACACTTCTGAACACTGCAAATATTCACACGCCTTATCTTCTTTTGGTCCACTTGTCAACACAAGTTCTGCAACGGAGTCCCAATAAAGTTCATATTAATAATGTTACCAGCCCTTACATAATAAAGAACTATAACAATAAAAACCATAAACACTTCTTTAAACTAGTTTCAAGATACACAATTTCTTATAAGATTCAATATTTTATATGATGTACAATTTTCCAGGCAGGCCATTACATTTGGTTACATAATCTTGCCTAGAATATAATGTATCATTGAGTATAAATTGTTACAAATTATTAAAATTCTTTGCTACTACATATTTCAACAGTAAAACTAGGATTTGTGAAAAATTAGGTAGTTATTTGCAAATATAATCGTTATAAGAGCAGAGATACAAGTTTGAGGCATATTGACATGAATCATACTAGAATAATCAAAACTTATTACCCCTAAACCTACACCTGAACAAATAATTGAAGCAATACTGTCCTTATTGAGAGGATCATGGAAATCTAGTTTTAAAATTAATTTGGGATGGTAGAGTGGTCTAAAAACCTGTGTGGTAAACATGATGCTGAAGAACCAGTTGTACCACAGGGAAACGGAGAACCTGTGGTAAAAGTGACGAGTTGATGGTTGACTTAAACATGCTGATTTGAAGGCTCGGCATTTATGCACAATTGCACGACACACTACACATCTTTTGTTCAGACGTAACAAGTAGCTTTCAATGTTCTATAGTTACATGTAGATTTAAACTTTCAGCAGTTACACATAGATATAAATGTTCAGTGGTTAAACACGTTGACTCGAAGGATCAGTAGTTTAAAATGCAGACTTGAAGGTGAAGTGGAATATATGAAGTCCGTAGAAACACAAATTTAATGCTGAGTTGCAAAATCCCAGTATTGGTAACACGATATGCAGATAAACACTAGCAAAACACGGTAAATCCATGAGCTAGTAGTATGTAACGGTGAGCTGTAGTCGTAGCAGCCGAACACGGAGGTTGTCACAAGCAGAGGATAATCACAGGAGATGAAGGATGCGAAGAGAAGTGATGTGTTGAATTAAAGTAGATCACTGATTGGTGGTAATTTGCAAGCTGAACTCTGAACAGTCTTTTAAACAGCATTTGCAAAGACACTCAACATTATATTAAAATTACATCTCGACATTTCTTTTTATCCCTTAAAAAGATTTGCATAAATAAATTGCTACAAAATAACAATCAACATTAGTAGACAATTTTCCCTAAAAATAGATGTTAATAAAATTCTTTCAAAAAATATTGTTTTCTATTTTCACTCCAATGCCAATATAAAAAGGTTATTTGTGGTTTTTTCCGCTGGTGTTCAGACAGATAAAAGGACAACATATATTTAGAGAAACATTTGTCTACTAGAGATTATTTTGTAATTTTTCTTATATCACCAGTTTAAAATTCCCAATAAAATAAATTAAATATGTAAATAAAGAAATGATTCATACCTTTCAAAATGATCATCTCTACTTTTATCCCTTGGCTCAAAACCTGATCCAGGGCCATGGCTTCTTTCATAATCTCTTGAACGAACATAATCTCTTGATGAGCCTCGGTGTTCTCGATCCCCTCCATAATATGTAGTTGGAGCATGGGATGAACTATGTCGACCAGGTGATTCGTACCTGGGGCCACCTGCATGAATCATTCAAAAATTAAACTAATTTTCCACATGCTATTACATTATCCAATCAAATTCTTATTTGAAATTTTCTTAAAATTAGTAACCCATTTCTTGCCAATGTGTAAAGCAAACACAACGCAATGTTTACTATTTTACTTTAACTATAAAATTTGTTGAAAGCATCTGTAATTTATTGTACCATATATATAATCCTTAATGACTTCAAAACTATGTAATAAATAAGTATTACATGAATACCCATTTTTAATTTTTTCTCCTATACACTAATCTACAATATCTGTCTTTTGATCTTGAAATTGGTGATCAAAATCAATGTGAATTTCTTCGAACACACTGTGAAATATAATATGTAGAAATAAAAGTGTCGATGTTTGAGTATAATGTAATTTTCAAAACAATTGTTTCAGACAAATAAATATTGCGTTGCATTTAGGTAACGTTGGGAGTTTCCTGGCATATTTGCGAATGGCCAGATTCCATACGTGAAACAGCTTGTGCGGTCTTTTGAAGATACCAGTTGTGAAAAAAAGAAAGTTTTGAAACAAGTCTGAAGATATAAAATGGTATCTACACATTTCGGTCAATAAAATCACAGGTAAAGAATAGGAATCTGCAAAATTGAGCCCATTCTTTGATGAATGAACATAAGGCAATTGCAATCCAGAATTTATCTGTACTCATGAGCATAGTTTCATACTTGGGGCGACATTAAGCTAAAACACGTCAAATAAGATATACATTTGGTTCTTGATGTGGTGTATATTGACAGGTAAAATGAATTTTGAAACCACGATTTTATATTCATGGTGAAACTTCAAAAAGGGCACGAATAGATTAATTAATTTGCAATTTGGCAAAAATCCTTAAAGAAAATAAGAACACCATTGGCTGTTTCTTGACAAACGTCTCTATGTATTACACATTTTTTGTCATTTATCAGAAGCAGAATTGTATGCAAAGAGAGTTATGGCAACTGAGAGAAAAGGACATCAGACTGGTTGCTTCGAAGCCAAACAAATTATTTTGAAACAAAAGTTGTGCATAAATACATGATTAAGAAGCATAATGAGATTTTGACTTGTTAGAGACCCTACAAGGAATATTTACACTCTAACAACAGAAAATACTCTAAAATTGTATTGATTTTAAGTCCAAACTAGTACTCTCTTTTCTTAGAAGCAAGGGGACTACTAATAAAAATATAGATAATGGAAACCCAAATTGCCATCTGATACTACCATTGAAATTTAGGGGAGTATAGTAAGAAGAGAATGAGAGGAAGATAAAAGGCCCATGTTGATTATACACGTTAGTGGCGATAAGAATGCATGCAGACAATGTTATGTTCATAAGAATGGGACAATTTTGGAATGTAAAAAAATGTCAAATATATTTAAATTGCATTTGGATTTTACACCTCCACGCATATATTTGAATTCTGTTTGCATATCAGTAAAATTCGTGGACATTAATTGAGAAAATACCAACATTTCTTTAAAAAGCGGTTTGTACACTTTCTTTCTGGATAACGCCCAATGTTGTGTATACGCAACATTCCGTCCAGCCTCAAACAAGAATCACAATATTTCTAGCAAATTGGATTTTCTATTTTTGGAGACTTTTAATCTATATTTAACTAAAATTAATTATATAAATTGAGTATTTCCCAATTTGGAAAGAAATGGGTAAATACACATTACTGAACACCTACACATGCATCAGTGTACAAAAAGATACTCTACCTGATGTTTGAGTGTGCGGAGGATTAGAAATAACTGCAACAATACGTTGATGTTCTTCAAGACGATGTGAGGATGGTCCAGGATCATACTTACTTCTTTGATTGCCTTGAATTATTTCTTCCCGTTCAAAAATAGGGCGTTTACCCTCATCTAACACAAGTAAATTTCAATTAGTGAAGTCACACAACAAAGATTAATCTGTAAGCGAACTTTAAAATCATAAGTAAATGAATTGAATGTAATATAAGTTCTTTTCCCCCTTCAAGAGACATGCCAGGACTTTAATTAAAAATATTGGCTTTTAAAGAAATCCAAAATTGACAGAATAAAGAACAATTTCAATTTTGAACAAAAATGAAAGAAGCACCCAATTATTAAATAAAAGATGTCAAGCAACAACTACAAAAGGTCAATAAAGTGAAAGAAGGATCCCTTTAAGCTCTACATGACAAGTGTTCATGAACTGTACAATTGTGCAACAAAAATGCAGCCCCAAAGGGATGTTAACGTTAACAGTAAATGTCATGTTTCAAGAAAAGAAAATGAAAAATGTGTCACCGAGGAGAATATGTAAACTGCAGGCAAGGTACGGTGTAAAAGGAAATTATCTGTGAGCACAGTATATTACCCAATAATTCCAATGGCATCGTGCTTAAAAGAGGTTTCATTTGAAAATCTATTTCTTTTCATTCGAACACTACTATTTACAAGTGAAATTTTTAAGCAAATTAGTTATACTATAATTAGACATCAATCAAAAATATACTGCAAGTAAACAAAAACTCATCTATGACCAATTACTTGAGAATATGTCGAAGACATCCAGAAAACTTCATTGTACTGATTAAGTGTTGTTCTGTTGCCAACTAATTATACCAAAAAACTTACCCAACTTGGAGACTTATCTGAAATCTGAAGGTCAGACTGTTATAAGATAAAAAGTTCCTACTTTCAGCACACACATTTCAAGTAAACGTCAGAAGTACAGGTACCCCGTAGACACACAGGAAAACATCTTCAACAAATTACATAACCACACTTTCTTTACATGCTTGTAATCATACAATGGATTTACAGGAAAATCATCGCTGGTACAATACATGACTACAAGAGTTCCCCAAACATGCAGTGCCCCAGCAGAAAAGAATTAAAAAATTCTCTGACCCCATGTGACTGAAGCAGTTGAAGGTTCCATAAGTAGCAGTGTACAAACAAAAGAAACCCATCATGCAATATTGAAATCAACATAATTGTCTAGGATTACCACATTATGTATATTGTTAAGTATTACTTTGTACTGTTTTATAATGACAAAATCATAGCTGTGATTCTTGTCTGTCCAAAAAGCATTAAATGCTGTTTACAGCATTAATACTTTTAGAAACATGAATAAAACATGTACAATAATTTTTCGAACACCAGCTTTATAAATCAACTGTTACTGTTGCAAGAAATTGTTCATAATGCCATTTTATGGATCAGCTTGACCTCAGTGATCGCCCTCATTGCTTGTGCTCCCTGCATGATGATGCAATACCAACATCTTATAATGCCAACTTCAGAACTGCTTTTGAAATTTATTTCCAAAATTAATTTTGGTTCTTTTCTAAACTTATAATGTTGTTATACAAAATAAATAGCCTCTGCAACTTGGTTGCTATATTGCATTAAAATTTGAAAACTCACTCCTAAAATTGCACATTTTCAAAACAAACAATTATGCAATAAAGCATAACGTTATAAACTAGTTGCAAAACACACTATTTAAGTTTAGTCAAAAAGAGAAAAATATGCAAAATTATTCATGATCCTTAAACCAAGGTTTATAAAGTACTTTCAGAAATATTTTACAATTTAATACATTTAAAGGTCTTAAATTAAAAATACTTACAAAGCATATTTAATATCAGGACATTCAATTTAATAATGACACATGAACTCAAACATCTATTTCCAAGATACATCCAAGTTTTTTCCCCCATTTAAACTTGTTTCCTTTGAATTTATGTATTTACTCTTAAAGAGCATCCAAATTTTATATTGTATTTCAAATTGCAAAGATAGTCCTTTAGAATAAAGAAATTGGTAAGTTATTGTTACAGTTCAACGAAATTTTATTTCTCTCCAGGACATGCACATATTACTTGAAAAGAAACTAAAATACATAAATAAATGTGGATATAAAAAGATTTTAATAAATACTTACCACAGGACGGTATATCCACAGATACATGCAGAAACAATTTTATTCTTGTGGAATGTAGTTTTGACTTTCATATTGCATCTGTCTCATATCCAACTCACTGTTTAAGAGCATTATCTACATTCAAACCCTTTCCATCACAAAGAAAGCAGAAAGAAAAATGTACAATGCACTTCATTCAATAACACTGAAGACATCACATCATAAGTGCATCTACTTTTCTTGATTAAATAAAAGATGGCACAAACCCCATTTCTCATTTTAATGTAATATTTTTAAGGGGCAATTGAAAACTGCAATTGTAAACATGCATCACCAAAATAGACTCTTCTCTGGCCACATTTCCTGATACAGCATGCATTTGCATAGCCAAACACATCAAAGCCATTCTACTACAAAAACTAAACATTCCACAATTGACACAGAAGTCCAAAAACAAATTTCTCAGTTTGCTTCATATCAAAATTGTGTTATTCAAACACAATTTAGAATTCACATGTTTTTAGAGCATACAAAAATTTACATTTTTCTTCTCAACAAGCACTTCATATTATCTCTCTCACTGAATCTCATGCTGAACGAACTCACAATGTCCATTTTTATTATGATGGATTCTTGATGCAATACAAATGAATTCATATACTTTAAATCTTACAGTAACTAGGTTTGGGCATAAAGAATTATCTGTTGTTTATATTGATGTGCTAACGAATAAGGATCGTAAAACTTAATTAATACAGAGTGGTTACAAACAGTTTCAGAATATTTCCCTGCCATTAATACCTGAATCTTACCTCACATTATTTCAATCACAATACACAATAACTTCAGAAAAACAGTTTATAGTTATGATTTGTAACTAAATAATGGCAATACAAACCACAAGACCATTTGGATTCTTCACTGGAAGTTCAAGATCCAGACAATGCCAGAGCAATTCTCACCGCCAGCGCTTCAAAATTCAAGTCTCGTAATTTCATTTACTTTCATCATGGTACTTGTTTCTCCAACATTAAAACTGTTTTCATTGAAACATTTTTTCTATATTTGCACTTCCTCATGTGTGCACATGTATTGAAGACACAACAGACAAAATCACATGGTGAATTTGTTGCTTTGATGAGAGAAATATGTACAAGTAGTGGACCTGACAAGGCATCACTATTACAGTGTATTACACATCACACACTACTGCTCACGTGATTGTTAATCATGTTTTTTGCCACGCTGTGCAAAAATCCTAATAGACGAAAGACTTTATTGCTTGAATGCGTTTGTTCTATGTGCTGGTTTAGACATCCTTTGTCAAGAATCCTACTGTTAAAACATTCTCCCTCAAATTTGGACATGTGTTCGCAATGACACTATCTTGGAGAAATTTAATTTACTTGTCCCAGATTCAAATAATAATTCCGGGAGATATTTCACAAAAGGGGCAGAATACTTGTATGTAGTGAAGACGCGCTCAAAAAATCCTTGACTATGCAGTGGGTTGACTAGAGTTCAGGGGCGCTTGAGTCCTCATAAACGATCAACAACAATGCCCTCACATGTCTGATTTAATCCAAACTACTCTTTAACCACTCCCATTATTAATAAGAACATTGAGTCATTTTTACATCTGTGCCTGACACATAAGTACATACTCTTTTACTTATACATAGATATATTGATTGTTTATGGTATTGATTAGAAGAAAAAACAAAAATATTAATGAAAACAAAGGCCCATGAAATAATCTATCACTCCGTATACCCTTTTCCAGACGCTAGAAAATATTTTGAATGGGATTTCACTATAAAATGGCAATAGACATATAAAATCACTATAACATACCACAGACAAACGTAGACCAACTTTCATGATTTGAAATCTTATTCTTATGACAGAGAAGTATATATTCTCAATGAAAGTAATGAAATATTTCAAAATACATAAATATCTTTCTTTTTGTTATTACAATGCTTCATATTGTAATTACTCTATATTTTTAGGCACTTCTGAATGATGATGTTGGAAACTTGAAGACAGATGATTTCTCCCAAATCACAATATTCTAATTAATTGTAGAGTGCTTTCCTTAATTACTTCTATGGTGAGAACCATTTTTAAGCAGCAAACATACCTGGGAATTGTAATACTTGAATTAGGCCTATGGTCTCCATTCTTGTTATGAAATCATCGATTTCAATGTCTATGATACTCTGATCAGGCCTTTACTTCACACTAATCATAATATTCATTTTACAAGTGAGTGGATTGGGGTGAAAGTTTGCTAAGAGACAATTATGATCTTTTACATGTTGTAATAGACAACACAGGACTGCCTGTTTATCTTCCCTCTGAAGGATATAATGCAGCAATTAAGGATCACCCAATAAATCCACTGGTGATGACCAGGCGCAATCCCACCATTGCACATTTACAAAGTTGGTAAGGCTATCACTATAGCAAGAGTGATATGCTTATTGTTGTACATCCTTAGAGTTTTGTTCACTCAAAAAACAAGATTTTAATACTGAAGTTCGAATAACATTCTGGTGTAGATATGTAGCAGTATCTAAAAGCTGATAACCTTGTTCTTCAGATGAATGCTTTATAGAATTCAAATACAGTTGAACATTATGAAATTATATGTACATAAGTACTATGTAGCAGGTAAGATGTCATGTTCAATTTTCCAAAATAAATATAACAGAATCATAAAACTATAATGAATCAACCCAAAGATGCTAAGAAATAAACAATAACAGACTCTTCCATTTGTTATAAATATCCATATGATCTTTTAAGTTTTAAAAGTGAATGTAAAAAATACATTTCAAGAAAATTATACAAATGATTCAATTCCAATATCTGGGTGCAGGAACCCTTCAAATCATTAACATTAACATTCATCAATTCATCATGTCATGGAGTGTGAGACTGGTTTGTGAGAAGTAATTTG